TGAAGAGTCAGAGATGACTGAGCGACTGAACTGAATTGAACTGGACCTCTTCAGGCAAAGAAGTGATTTCAAACTTTAAAGCTTTTGATGTATGGTATTAAACTGCCCTCCTTGGTATCAAAGGTTATGTTATTTTATAGTAACATGGGGTGGTTTTTGACCCAGCTGCATTTTTCTCTCAGTTCTCTAATTCTATTTTAAAATGGAATGGGGGTTGTGTGACATGTTCCATAAGAAAACTGAAAAATAGCAATGATTTTGTCAATCAAGCAGTAAAAAAAGAATTTAGATAATGTAGTAGGAATTGTATATAGAGAAGTCCAAAGTTATAGTGTGACTAAGACAAGAAGAAAGAATACAGTAAGTCCGCTACATATGAACCTCAAGTTGCAGACTGTCAAAGATGCAACTGAGCACTCCATCTGTGTCAGGCGTGAGTGAAATTGCAGCTTGCCTTCCACCCCCTGTTGCTGATGCTCCTTTCGCTCTACCATCTCTCATCTCCACTCCCTCCTTCAGTCAATAACTCTTCTTGCCTCTTCACTTGATGCCAGCCCCCGTATGCCAGCTGTTGTACTGTACTATTGTCCTTTTCGAGGTACTGTACTGTAAGATTTAAAATGTTTTATTTTTTTGTGTTTGTTTTTTATGTATTATTTCTATCAAATTATTATAGACCTATTACAGTGTGGTACTGTATAGCTGATTGTGTTAGTTGGGCACCTAAGTGTAATTTTGTCGGACTTAATGAACATGCTCTCAGAATAGAACTCATTTGGATGTAGTGCACTTTACTATAGTGATAAGTGGAGCAAAAACAAACCTCTAGTCTATTAAAAAAAACCTATAATACATATTTTAAAGCAGTCTATACAGATATAGATATGCGGCTTCCCTTGTAGCTCAGTTGGTAAAGAATCTGCCTGCCATGCAGGAGACCCGGGTTCGTTTCATGGGTCAGGAAGATCCCCTGGAGAAGGAAATGACAACCCACTCCAGTATTCTTGCCTGGAGAATGCCACGGACATAGGAGCCTGGAGGGCTACAGTCCATGGGCTTGCAAGAATCGGACGTGACTTAGCAGCTAAACCACTACCATACAGATATGCAAGTTCTACACTGTATTATGTACAAGCCACTATTGATCAGGGTGGGATGCGTAGAAAGAGCGAACTTCTTTCACCCCTGCCTTCATTAAAACTTAGGAGGCTCAGCTCTGCACAACAGCCATCATGTAGGTGAGGTTTGCATTGGCATCTAGTCCTTCCCTACAGGGACTTTGCACTAGGTACTGTCTTTCGGCTGTCTAGTGTCCCCTACGAGCCACCTAATGACACGTGACATGGGCTGGAGACCATCAGAGTCTTCCTCAAGATTGATTTAAAGATGCTAGTAGAGAAAATTCTCATTCTTCTGGGGCTGTTAAACTGGAAAACCAGGAAGTTGAGGGTGCTGGAGACCATCTCCCTGGCAGGCAAGTTTAGACAGCAGGCTAAGAGCCACAAGCATAGGTGCTTCTTAAACTAAGGCCCATTTTTTCACCTATGCCTTGGATGGCATTCGCTCCTGCGGTCTCAGAACTGTGCAAACCCTCTCTTTTCCTGCACGGCTCTCCTTGCTAAAAAGCCTTCCACCTGGTGAGTTCATCTTCTCCTCAGTTCTCACTCTCCTCCCTACTCCAGTCAAATGTTTTCAAAGAGTATCTACACTCACTCTCTTCACTCTTATTTTTCACCTCAACCTACTCTAAATAGGCTTCCATGTTTACCCTTCTACTGAATCAGCTCAAAGATTACTCAGGAACTGTCCAACTCCACAGGCTTTCTTTAGTCTTGTTTATTTAATCCCTTAGCATCCTCTGACCTAACTGACCTTTCCTTCCTGCCCGAGAACTTTTGAGTTGGCTTCCACAATAACTGGAAAACACATCCTCCTGGGTTTTCTCTCACTTCTGCCTGCCGCTTCTCAACCCCACTGTCTGCCTCTCCTTTAAATGTAGATGTTGGGGTTTCTGGAAGTCTGCAGCCTAAGCCCCTTCTTTTTCTCAAACTATGTTCTCTTCCTATCTTTTCCTCTAGTGGAGCTCTCAACCACTATTTTAGCTTTGATCGTGATCTCTACACTATTGGCGTCTCCATTTATGCCTTCACCCCTGACTCCACCTCTGACCTTCACAACCACATAGCTACTTGCCCACTTTGGATTTCCACTTAAATGTATCAAAGGGATATCAAACCTGACATATTTTGAACTGAACTCTTCACCCTCTTCCACAAATCTGCAGCTCCTCCCCTAGTGTTTCCTAATCACTCACGGCTCAGTCATCCACACAGTTGCTCAAGTCCATTTCCAGCATGCTTCTTTTAATGCTTTCCTCTTCCTCATTCCCTTCTTTCCATCCATCACTGAGACCTGTCCACTCTCCGTCTCAGTCCCACCTCCTTAGCTTCATTGCCATCATATCACCCGAGTCTCTGTCACCACCTTCTCCCTTCTAGACTTCAGCCACAGCCTCCTCACTGGTGTCCCCACACCCGTGCTGGCTCCTTCCAGTCCATTTTTTGCACACCTCCAGAGAAATATTTTAAAACCTCAATCTCATCCTGCCCTGGCTCTGCTTAACAGCCTTCCAGAGGCTTCCAGGTGTCCATAGTTAAGGTCCAAAGACCTACCATCTGGTTAGTCTTGGCCCCTGACCCACCTTTACAGGCTCTTTTCAGCCACTTGTCCCTCCAGCCACATGGAATCCTCCTGGCTCCCCAAACAGGACAAACTGTTTTCTCAGGAACTCTGAATAAATAGATCCTTCTGCTGTGAATTTTTTTAGGTAACCCTTCTCTGATTAGCTCCCCTCACCCCTCCAGTTACATTATCCCAAGATACCTTGGTCTGTTCCTCCACTGCACCCTCTGTTTACTGTTTTTCCTCCCTTGTGTGACTGTTAAGCCCCGGGAGGGCAGGCACCATGGCTGTCCTGCTCACCACTCAGCCACCACTGCCCACCTACACCTGGCACTGACAGGGCAAACATGGAGTACCCGAGGGCCTCACCACCCAACCGCAGGGCAGCTGTGTAGCTGCTCGGCATTTGGGACCGTCTTCTCTTAGTGCTGAGATCCAGTAGCAGCAAATCCTTCAGTGGTTCTTAAAGCTAGAGTCCTACTCTTTGGAAGAGAGGATGACAAAGTTGACCCAAATGATCCCCTTGACCTTTTCCACTGGGACCACACAGGAGCTCCCCAGATGTTGGAGAGCTTGCTTTATGGCTAAGGTGTCATCTGGGCGACGTGCTGCATCCCTGCCCCGTTCTTCTAAGGAAATGCTGTCTTTAAGACCTGCCTTTCCCCAGCGACCACTGTTCTTTTCTGTTTTCATTCCGTAGTGTGCCTAAGTGAAATGCTGAGAACCTGGGTTGAGAGCCCCCGATAGGGCAGTGGGAAGAAGGGACTAGAAAGGCTGACCTGCTCCCAGGAGACTCGGAGTCGCCAAAGAGAATGTAATTAGGGATCTTAACAATGGCCTAGGCTTTATGGGAGACAAATTGGTTGCGGTGGCCCTCAAGGAGTGAGGAGCTCCCAGGGGACAAAAACTGCAGGCGCCCTGAGTGGAGCAGCAACTGCAGGCGGCCCCCTCTGACTCACAAACAGCAACAGCTAGCGTGTTCCTAGAAGAGGCGATTTCTTCCGAGCACGTGTACTGGGGACTGTGTCTGTGTGTGCCTGTGTGTTTGTGTGAGTGAACATCTTCTGCCCGTGTCCTGTAGGGCTGGGCCGACCAGGAACCGCCCCGCAGAGGAAGAGATTTAGTAGTCTCGGCCACGTCTGTCTTCAGAACCGACCTCTCCTGCTCTTTGTGCGACAAGACACACCTCTCCGAGGAAGGAGGCGGACATCATCACTACTGCCCTATTAAAACCACACACACACACACACACACACACACACACACACACACACCAACCGTGTAATTACTCTCCGCAGGAAAGGCGCTCAACAGGATGGGCCCGAGCTGAACTCGGGATGAGCCATCCCTGTAAAGATTAGAAAAAGGAACCTCCCCGCCATGCACCCGCCTCCGGCGGGCCAGGGCCTCTCCCAGATGGTCAGGCTGGGTAGCCAGACCACCTCCTAGGCTGGGAAGGTGGGCGCGGGCGTCTCCCAGCCGTGCGGGTTCCCTGTTCCTTCTTCAACCCGCCTTCCAGCTCTCGCTGGGTCTGTCTCCCACGCCTCAGGTGTTTGCTGGGGCTGGGCCACAAGCCCTTCCCTTTTTGGCCTGCACCTGGGGTAACCTCCAGCCCAGAGCGCCCCGCCAGACCCTGCTGCAGCGAGTGCGCCCAGAGCGGTGCGAATCGACCCGCGCGGGGCTCCCCGCGCTGCGTGCGCCCGGCCACTGCCCGAACGCAGGGCCGGGCTCCGGCTGCGCGCCACGCCCCCGGGCTTCGCACGGCGCGAGCCCCTTGTAGGCTGGCTGTGAACTTGGAGCCGAGCGGCTCGACGCTCCTGCCGGGGATGCGGCGGCAGCTGCTTCCTGGTTTGAAGCTCGCCGAGTGGGGGAGAGCGTGAGCCCGCGGAGGCGGGGGCAGGAGCCGGAGCCGGAGCGGGCGGAGGCGGGGGCAGGAGACGCTGGAGGCTCGAGCTAACCGGACGGGTCGCTCCGGCTCTCCCGGGAGAGGCGCTTCCTGGCCCTGAAGAAGGGGCGAGTCCCGTGCGGGCCCCCGGGAGGCGCCGCGCGCTCGAGATTGACGGTCGGGCGACCCCGGCCCGCTGGGGCTCGGCGCCCGGCTCCCCTCCTTTCCACCTCGCGAGGGAGGGAGGGAGGGAAGGAGGGGAGGGAAGGTCCGGCGGAGGAGGCAGAATGGCCGGTCGAGGGGAGCTTGGGTGCTGCTTTTCCTGGGAGCTGCCTCCACTCCTGCGGCCGCCGCGAGGGCTGGCCTGAGTGAGGGCTCCCCGCTCTCCGGCTGCGAGACCGCGCGGTCCCCGGGGCGGGACAGCGGCGTCGGCATGTCGTCCGGCACCATGAAGTTCAATGGCTACTTGAGGGTCCGCATTGGCGAGGCCGTGGGGCTGCAACCCACCCGCTGGTCCCTGCGCCACTCGCTCTTCAAGAAGGGCTATCAGCTACTGGACCCCTACCTGACGGTGAGCGTGGACCAGGTCCGCGTGGGCCAGACCAGCACGAAGCAGAAGACCAACAAACCCACGTACAATGAGGAGTTCTGCGCCAACGTCACCGACGGGGGCCACCTGGAGCTGGCCGTCTTCCACGAGACGCCCCTGGGCTACGACCACTTTGTGGCCAACTGCACCCTGCAATTCCAGGAGCTGCTGCGCACGGCCGGCGCCTCGGACACCTTCGAGGGATGGGTGAGTACCTGGAGCGCTCCCCTTGGTGTCCACTCCGCACCTTTCCCTTCCTTGATGTTACAGAACTTGCCCGGGCCCCGCTTTCCCATCTTCCCAGGCTCCGCGGCTCAGGGAATTCCCTCCACTTTTGGTCCACGTCCAGGTGGCCCGTGGTACTGGTGATGCGACCGCGGTGGGTGTGCGAGGGTACAGCTGTGCCTCTAAGAAGCCATCCTGGATACCGTTCCTCTTGGGGATGGCAACTTGGGCTAACGGGAAGTCGGGGGAAGGGGCGGTCACCCCACCCCCTCCCCGCCCAGACTTTGAGTAAGGCGCCCCAACTCTCTGCACGCCGGTAATACAGGAAAGGCAAGGAAGGTGTGTTAGGAAAGTGACTTGATTTGGGTAAAGCTCTTTAAGCGTTTCTTAAGCGAAAGCCTTGCATTCTCACAGGTATTATTCATAATGTTTATGGATACGTGTTGGTTCAGCCGCTCAGACGTGCACACGTGTTTCAGCATGCACGTCCATTACATCCCAGAGGTAAATAACCTACACTGGCAGGGATCAGAGTGCCTGGGTCTGCAGTTGGCAAAGTTTTGTTAAGCAGTTTTTCAAGGAGATGAGGTTTACATGTGTTTGCAGGTAACTTCAGTTCAGTTTCAGCCCAAGAGGTCTGATTCCTGCAGTTAGTTACTGGTCTTGAGAGTTTCCAGGGCTCCTCAGCAGTTTGTGAACCACCCCCGGTTTCTCACCTCACCTGCTTGTGTTTCTGTGTATTGACAAGTAGTTACCCGTAACTTCCTACTTGCCTGTGCTTTTCACATAGTTCCCATGAGGCAAAATGTCTGCTGCAAATAAATTAAAATGTCTAGAGCACTCTACACAGTGCTAAAATGCTTTTGCTTCTTAATCTTCATACTGCCTTTGTGATGCAGGTGTTATCCTTCTCACATGTATGTGATGAAATGATAATTAGAATGAGGTGGTCTGGTTTGGCCAAATAAGTCCTTTGAAGACTCTCAGGAGTTTAATGATTTAAATTCTGGAGGATGTCAGTTTTGAGGCCAGAACTGAAACCTGTTTGAAATTAACAAGTGGGGGAATCAGATGGATAATAAGAAAGACTCATTTAGATATTTATTTTACACTTTGAGGAACTGATACTTTTATCATATATTTTGTAAAATCACAGCTATCTTGTGGAGTAGTCTCTTAAATAGGAGGAAAAAACATAATGACTGTTTAACTGTAACATCAAATTATATTGAGTTAATTTCCCTTCAGCTGAATTTACTTTGTGGAATTTAGAAGTGGACTGGAGAGGAACGGCCAAAATATACATTGACATTTTATTTTGTGAATTTCTGAATAGGAAGTAAAGGTCGGTCTAGGAATCTGAGTGGAATTATTAAGTTAGTATCCGGTTAGGAGTTAGGTTGGGCAAAGCTCTAAAGAACCGGGTTCTGAAATTTAATGGTGCAGACTGACCGATGGCCATTAGAAGCATGCTCTCCAAGAGAGATCCTAGACTGGTTTACTTTACCCGTAATCTGCACATTTGAATCACCTGAGGGACTTTTAAAGATCCCTACTTGTAAAGACTCTAGACGAGACTCTCTGGCTGTGGACACCAGCATCAGTATTTTTCAGCTTTCCAGGTGATTCCAGTGTGCAGTCAAGTTTGAGAACCTGTAGCCTAAATGAAGACCACAGGGTAAGGGCTGGAAGAAGCATAAGTATAGGAAGATTCAGGTTACTTGAAAAAGTGGGGGGTTCCTATTTAGATCTGTCTATTTTCCCACTGGCTGTATATTTAAATGTAAATTAAATTCACATATCCTAATTGTCTGAATTAATTAGGTATTTAATGTAACCCAGTAGTGATGTTCTGAAAAATACGAGGGTTTGGTAGGATATATCAGCATTTAAATGACCTTGAAATTGGTGATTTGTCAGACACTCATTCAATGAGGAGGCAGAATTTTAAAAATTCTTGGTATTTTGAAACTGTGGTGATAGGGTAGATAAAATAGGCAGTGAGTTTCATTTTTAAAAAAATTTTTGTTAAGAAAATAATTTTGTTAAAATATTTGAAACTATATGGAACGCTTGTTTTTTAAATGATCCTCTATAGGTCTAAAGTGGTTTTGAAATTTAGAATTACAGAAGTACTTATTTGTCCTTAGCATATTAAATTGAAATGCATAGTTTATTCAGAAAGCTGTAAATGGAATAATTTACTCCATGAGAAATTTATTTTTTGTAACTGAAATTACAGATTGCTAAACAATGAAAATAAACTAGCAGTTTAATTCTTCCTATATCAGGAGAAGAGATAAAAACAGAAGATACCTTTATTATTAGAATAAAACAAAGTTGTTATGCTTTTTTGCTTAACATAGTTTCTAAGTATTAAGAAGATAGTGTTTGACATTGATTTTGTACCAGTTTCATTGATATTACCTTCTAAGCTTGATGAGAGAAAGAGATCTATTTTATGCAGTTATATTCCTAGTACCGAGGAGGGCACAGCAGCCCATTCCTGTATTCTTGCCTGGAGAATCCCATCGGACAGGGGAGCCTCACGGGCTACAGTTCCTAGGCTGGCACACAACTGAAGTGACTTAGCACACATTCCTAGTACCAGGCACAGTGCCTGCCGTGGATTAGGCAGTCAACCATTTCTTTCCTAACTACATTTATTTCATTTAATTTGCATTATATCCAAGGAGGTAGTGAGATATAATATGACAGCTAAAGAAGTTCTTAAATGGAAATTCAGTGTTAAACTCTTTCAGTTAGAAAAGATTTCACAGACCTGAGTTTCTGCCTGAAACTAGGAAAGTAAGAACCAGTTAAATCCTGGGTAAGCAGAAAGAAAGAAATGTAAAGATAGCAGAAATCAGTGAAGTAGAAAACAGAAATAGTAGGGAAAAATCAATGAAACAAAAACGTTGGTTCTTTGGAAAAACACACACACACACGCAATAAAATTGATAAATCTCAAGCCAGAATGATCAAGAAAAAAAGATGACACAAATTACCGATGTTAGAAATGAGAAAATATCACTATAGATCCTATGGACGTTAAAAAAAAAATAAGAATGAATAACTTTATGCCAGTAAATTCCACAATTCAGAGGAGATGAACAAATTCCTTGAAAGATATAGATGACCAAAACTCATTCAAACAACTAGCTTTATGTCCATTAAGGCAATTGAATTTTTTTATTTTTATTTTATTTTATTTATTTATTTATTTTTATTAGTTGGAGGCTAATTACTTCACAATATTGTAGTGGTTTTTGTCATATATTGACATGAATCAGCCATGGATATACATGTATTCCCCATCCCGATCCCCCCTCCCACCTCCCTCTCCACCCGATCCCTCTGGGTCTTCCCAGTGCACCAGGTCCGAACACTTGTCTCATGCATCCATCCTGGGCTGGTGATCTGTTTCATCCTAGATTATATACATGTTTCGATGCTGTTCTCTTGAAACATCCCACCCTTGTAAGGCAATTGAATTTGTAGTTAAAAAACCTTCCACAGTACAAACTTGAGGTCCCAGGTGGCTTAACTGGTGAGTTCTATCATACATTTAAGGAAGAAACATTGGCAATTACACAAACTGTTCCAGAAAACAGAAGAAAAGGAAACACATCCTGGCACATTTCATGAGGCCAACATTACCTTTATACTAAAACTTGATGGATGCTTTGCAAATAAATAGAACTATAGACCAATGCCCCTTCTGAGTGTAGATATTAAAAAATCTTAAATTTTAGGAAATCACACCCAGTAATATAGCAAATGATCAAATGGGGTTATAACCAGGACTGCAAGGTTCATGGTTGACTAAACATTTAAAATCAATCAGTGCAACTCTTCAAATTAACAGAATAGTTTAATAACAGAAAAAAAGATTCATATGATTAGGTCAATAGATAAAGAATTTGACAGAAGTCAATATCCATTCATGATAAAAACTCAACAAATTAGTAATAGAAGGGCACTTTTCAACCCGATGAAGGACAGCTGTGAAAAACCTACAAGTAACATGTTGATGGTGAAAAACTGAATGATATTCCCCTAAGATCAAGAGTGGCGAGGATAGCTACCCTTACCACTTCTGTTTAGCAGTGTAGTGGAGGTCACAGTCAGTACAACAGGCAGTTAATAAAGTGCCTGCAAAGGAAGAAGTTAAAGTGTCTATAGAAAATTCTAAGACACCTACAAAAGGGTTACTAGAACCAACAGGCTAGGTTTAGCTAGTTTGCAGGATCCAAACCAATCTACAAGTTACTTGTTTGTTCATACTCTCAGTGGACAACTGAAAACTGAAATAGAAAAATACCATTTAAAAGAGCATCAAAATATGAAATTGGATAAATCTAGTAAAACATGTAAGACTTGGTCACTGAAAATGACAAACCATTGCTGAAATAAATTAAAGATCTAAATAAATGGAGAGAAATACTGTGTTCATAAATGGGAAGATTCAATATTCTTAAGACCTCAAATCTTCCCAAATTGTTCAATAGATTTAATGTATTTCTAGTCAAAATATCATCAGGCTTTGTTGTAAAAATTAACAAGCTGATTCTAAAGTTTATATGAACATGTGAAGGACCAGACTTATCTAAGAATAATTTTGAAAAAGAATGAGTTGGAGGACTTAGAGTATTTGATTTCAGGACTTACTACAACACTACCGTAATCAAGGTAATGTGGTATTAAAGAGAGTCAGAGAGATCAGTGGAATAGAGTCTTGAAATGGATTCATATGTATATGATCAGTTGACTTTCTTTTGACAAAGATGTCAAGGCAGTTCCATTGTGGAAATGATAATTTTCTCAAGTGCTACTTGAACAATTGAATAGCTAAATGCAGAAACTTGTGCATTGACTTTAATCTTACATTATACACAAAAATTAACTGCAAATGGATCATAGACCTAAAAGTAGGATTTTATCTGTAAAATTTTTATAAGAAAACATAGACGAAAATCTTA